ACCGCATAAACACATTTCATTACACCAAATACACAAAATGTTCTTTTTAGCAACATCATATGACCCCTTTAAACTTGGAATTTGAGCGTGGTTTCCAAATAGTTATTTTTCTCTTCCTGAGTTCCTGTCATATTGTAGTTTGTACAGGTTTAATCCGTTTGGTTTCTGTTCTAAGGAAGTTAAATATTAAATGGGTCCTATTATGCTCTTTTACAAAGTCTTGATTTTGTTTTGGGGGTGTACTAGAACAGGCTCTCATACTAGGTTGTGTACCATAGCCGCCTGCAAGCTTCAGTGTAAATATTGCGTCAAATCAATTTGAGCGCGATTTAAACCCGGATGATTGTAACCATTCTAAGTTCGTCTGCCTTGGGGAAAGCTAGCGTGTCTCCGACATAGTGATAACACTCGTTGCCTTCTCTAGTGCAGCTCAAGCAGGTCTCGTCTCATTCGTCGATATTTGTGATATATCAAATCCCGGAAAATATGCGTTGTAGTCCAAACGAGTCGTTCGTTGTAGTTTTTAAAAAGTGATTTCTGTTAAATAAAATATCTCCTTTTGAAGTGGACTTTGAGCTTTGTAACTTTGCAGATCTTTTTTATGCTCAAACAGCAACATTACAGACTAACTAAAAGTGAAAAAGCATAATAGGACCCCTTTAAAGGTGAAGATATATTATTGATGATGTGACAGTAATTCTGTGGCCTTCTCATTTATATCAGTATGCTCTTAATTGTGTTGTGCTTAAAATTGTCTAGTTCAATGCATCTTGAGTGATTCATCTGTGCGTTTTTTTATTTTTATAACATTTTGTCATTTTAAATCAAAATGTCATAACTCAGTCTTGTCATGGCAGACTGAGACTAAGGCTGCGTTTACACTGGCACAAAAAATCCGATCTTTCGCTCACATCTGACACAGATCGGAATTTGTTGCACACGTGTAAACACAAAAACCCGCACGAGATTCTATTTTTTTGCATCCGATCTGAGCCACTTCCAAATGTGGATTTTAATCTGATACACATCTGATATCTGGACATCTGACCTACGTCTAAACACACATATCCGATTCTCCACAGAACTTCCAATGCGGGGGCGGAACGTTTGCTCATAAAGATTTTTAATGGCGTTTTAATGCCAGCGTGCTGTATGCGCTCGCATTTTATTAAGATGGAAACTTTTTATAGGTAAGAAATTGCACATTCAGGTGATAACTTAGCAGTTTTTGTAATTAAACCGACAAGCTTGTTCGCAATGCTTCACAATCGCTTGCTCGCAAGTGGGTGCATGCGTTCGTTCGTTCGTTCTCTCTCTCTCTCCTTAATTAAAGCTCTCATTCAGATCTGCTTCCATTCAGTCAACAACCAATGGATAGAAACATGTTCAGGCACTGTTTTTTTTTCTTCTTTTTTTCAATAATCAGTTTCATTCGGTTTTCACATTATGGAAGAATAGATATGCTGCTACTTCCATTATATTGCAACTCATTAGGGTTTGATTTTGTTTTTAAAAAATTAGCTCTAAAAAAAGCATTTTTCAGGTATTGATAAGAGTCAGAGTAAGGGGAGTGGCAGTGGTTTTTCATTGTAGTGTTACCTATGGTGTTACTTAACAGGTGTGTATCTTCCAGGGGCAGCCCCTAAGCCAGCTTCTCCTGTGGATCCCTGGGGTCTTCCCAGTGCCTCTTCCTCAGTTGCTTCTCTGAAAAGCAGTGACCCCTGGGGGTCGACCCCGGGTCCTGCAGCTGCTGATCCCTGGAGCTCAATGCCTGCCACCCGCCCCAAAGCCCCTGCCACAGGTGAGCTCTGAAAACTGAAGTTCACGTTAAAATGTATTTATGTGTTACATTGAGAAATAAGACTGTTCTCTTATTTTACATTCTTGAATATTAAAAATTAAAAGCTTTCTTCAATTTTAATCCCAACTGTCATCCCTCAGTGGGTAGCTTTGATCTTTTCTCCACACCAAATGGTAATTCCAGGGAGGACCTCTCTGTGTTTGACAGTCTTCGCTACTCAGCAGTGACAGGTAAAAGCTGACTACTACAGTTTACTAGTTAAAAGAAGTGTCGGCTGTTGTTTGGAATGACATGAGGATGTGATGTTTATTTTACAGGTGATGGTAGAGGAAGCTCTGCCTTGCCATCGCAGACCAGTTTGTCTGTAGGCTCTGATCTGTTTGACGTACCGAGTGGCCCAACCAGAAAAACTCCAGAGTCTTTCCTGGGTCCCAATGCCGCGCTTGTCAACCTAGACTCTCTGGTCACCAAACTTCCCCAGCAGGCTCCAGTCTCCAACCCCTTCCTCGCTGGAGGTAATCTTAACCAATTACATATTTCTAGGAGATCACTTGTACATTTACAGGGGTCTTGAAATTCAGTTTTATAAAATGCAAGGTCATTTATCATTTTAAAGGGATAGTTCACCCAAAAATGAAAATTTTGTCATTAATTACTCACCCTCATGCTGTTCCAACCTGTAAGACCTTTGTTCATCTTCGGAACACAAATGAAGATATTTTTGATGAAATCCGAGAGCTTTCTGACCCTCCATAGACAGCAGTGCAGCTGAAATGTTCCCAGACCCAGAAAGGTAGTAAGGACATTGATAAAATAGTCAATGTGACATCAGGGGTTCAACCGCAATTTTACAAAGCTACGAGAATACTTTTTGTGCACAAAGAAAACAAAAATAACGACTTCACTCAACAATTCTCCTCCAAATCACATCTTCTGCCATTATCGAGAGTACCTCTGCACGTAAACAACGCATGTGCGTGGTTGTAATGTGGCTCAACCTGTTTGTATGCATTGATATGTTGGTATTGATTTCATTACATTTTTATTAAAACATATTTTGAGCATTTTAAACTTGCAGCTTTTGTGATTGTGTTGGTTTGTTCTGAATAGATAGTATTATTTTAATTACAAAGCCTTAAATTTGATTTGAAAAACTCTGCAGACACCCTGATTGTTCTCATTAAGCAGTGCATTCACCTGTACCTCCCTTTGGTCTCGTTTCAGTCTCGGGAGCAGCTTCAGCTCCTGCAGCTCAGGTCAACCCCTTCCAGGTGAACCAGCCACAGCCACCCACCCTCAACCAGATGAGAGTCAGTCCCATGATGGGCCTGAGCGGACAGGGCTTCAGCATGGGCCAGAGAAGCAACGAGCCCTTGCCTCTGTCCTCAATGCCCCCAGCCGGCCCTGTCTCAATGGTACCCATGGCCGGCATGGCTCCTCTCGGGCCCGTGGGCCAGATGCCAAACATGGGGATCCCAGCCTCCATGTCCATGCCCCAGCCACTCATGAGCGGAGCAGCAACACAAGCCGGCGGCACAACCAACCCCTTCTTATTGTGAGGAACAACATTTGCCTCCCCGAAACCCACACGAATCTCTCTCTCTCATCCCCGTTCCTATGGCATAGACAACGTAGTCTGTTGTGTTCCCCCAAACCTGTGTGCTATTTTGAGACTTTTGGGAGTAGCAGTGGTGTTTACAGGTTTTACACTGGCAGGCGGTTCCCTTCCTCTCCTGTCAGAAATTGGTACCATACGACGATTTGGTATTCTTTTCTAAATTTCCTCAAAAGAAACCATCAGCGATACAGCGTCTAGGAGATTTTCTTCCCGGGAGCAACCTTCCTGTTTTTAACTTCTTTTTTTTTTTTGATGGCTTACTTTTCTTATCAGAGACCTGAAACTAGGAGTACTGGTTCGTCTTAATTTTTCTCATTTCTAGTCTTTGAAAGCAGCGTGCTAGATAAAGCTAACCCTTTTAATCGAAGCAGCCTGTACGTTCTACGCAGTGCATATACACTGTGTATTTACAGTACGCTTAAGTAGACTATCTATCAGTTTACATGGAAATTATTTTGATGTTCTATTGCAGGGATTTTGCACATGCTCTGATTTATCTTCTTTTGACTGTCGGCCCACCGTTAGTCCTTAGCGCGAGAAGCGATGGGAAATCATTCACTAAGACACGAGCAAAGCCGAGGACTAGGATGGAGTCCGCAAACTGCATGTGTGAATGGTTTCAAACCTGATGCCACACTGGCAGGCGATTCCCTTCCTCTCCTGTCAGAAATTGGTACCATACGACGATTTGGTATTCTTTTCTAAATTTCCTCAAAAGAAACCATCAGCGATACAGCGTCTAGGAGATTTTCTTCCCGGGAGCAACCTTCCTGTTTTTAACTTCTTTTTTTTTTTTGATGGCTTACTTTTCTTATCAGAGACCTGAAACTAGGAGTACTGGTTCGTCTTAATTTTTCTCATTTCTAGTCTTTGAAAGCAGCGTGCTAGATAAAGCTAACCCTTTTAATCGAAGCAGCCTGTACGTTCTACGCAGTGCATATACACTGTGTATTTACAGTACGCTTAAGTAGACTATCTATCAGTTTACATGGAAATTATTTTGATGTTCTATTGCAGGGATTTTGCACATGCTCTGATTTATCTTCTTTTGACTGTCGGCCCACCGTTAGTCCTTAGCGCGAGAAGCGATGGGAAATCATTCACTAAGACACGAGCAAAGCCGAGGACTAGGATGGAGTCCGCAAACTGCATGTGTGAATGGTTTCAAACCTGATGCCTTGAAAGATGAATTTCATACTGAAGTGGAGTTGTTCTTTCTTCCTTTTCTTTTGTAATGCATGACGGGGAGTTGGTTTGCATATCATAATACAGCTCAACTTTTATACTAAGCCTGTTTTTTACTGCTTTACAATCCCGAGACATTGTTTATTGGGTGAATGGGTTCTTTCAATTCAGTACGGCTCACTATTTGCACAGTACAGCTCCATATTCGACAGCTAATCCATACTAATGATTAGTATTCATCCGCTTCTCTGTGAGTATCCAACAATCTGAAATGTGATCATTTCAGTAACGTTTTTAATTTATGTATGCGTGCGTATGGAAGGAGCAAAGGGAAACGGGAGGAAATGGGTGTTGGTATATCTTCATCAGGTCCTAATGCATCTTACTGTTATAACCGACAGCTGTATAACTAATCACTGCTTCCTAATGCAATCTGTTCATGCACGTCGGGAAAAAAGCCAAGCATGTATCAGAGCTTGCCGTTAACAAAATCCTCAGTTCTGTATTCGAAGCTAACTTGCTTATAGTGTTACAAGAATGAGTGGACATGCTAAGACAGGTTATAGTATGGGAGGAGTCTTGTAATAGATTGTATGATTGATTGCTTTTTTTTGTTTGTTTGTTGAATATGTGGTATACATGTATGTTAGGGGTCATATGCATCTTTCTACAGCTAGAAACCTGTGGTTGATTTGCATTGTTCTGTATTCATACATTTATTTTGGCCACGGTTTTATCATTAAATGAGACTTAGACTAGACTATGAATTGTTAATCACAATTAGCAGTCCATTTAAAGCGAGAACGCCTAGACTTCGGTGTTTCGTGTGGCTTGCTGTGTCTACACTTTTAATTCAACCAGTTAAGCACAAGATGGCAGTGTTTGCCACCAATAGTAGTTACCAAAGTGACATTGCTTGTCCTTTTTAAATGCAGAGCTGCGGTCATTTTTAAACTGACTATACACATTTATCTCTCTTCAGTTGTTCCCCAGTTATTATCTTTATTATTCCTGCTTTTTTTGATTACGGCTAGAGTATTGACTCTACAGCTTCTCTCATCTGTGAGCTAGTGACCTCTGCTGGAAATATTGTGGTAGTACTGCCCATGTGCAGCCTTGTAGCATAGCCTGGGTGTTATGGTCAATAATCTGCAGGCATACTCAGGCATTTTGGGGGGTGGGGGTGGCTAAGACAGCTTTAAGAGGTATGTAATGCGCTTTTGATGGCCGTGATGGTTAAGGCAGGCACAGATCCTGCTAAACAAGACTCCCTGCTAGTGAACATCACTGTACTCTATTATGCAGACTAGTTTTACTTTTGAATCCACACGATATCTAGCTCATTTCATCTCGACCATCTCGTTTTGCTGTTACCGTGTATCACCTGTTCTTCTGTTATTATGTACTCATTATGCATTTATTGTGGAGGACTAACCTTGTGAACATGCATAACATTTTATTTTTCCATGTTGTTGTGTCTGTGTCTTTACCAAACTGTCTCATATTACTGGGAGCAGGCTGCTTTTATAGATATGTGCTCAACTTGTTGGCATTATGACTGTATAATATAATTTATCATCTGTTCTATTGTAACATATTGTTGTGTACCTTATTTCTGTGTAATGGTTTTGTAGGAAAGTCACAGGAGCAATGTTTTATTGCCATCTAAACAGCAGCAAGTGATTAAGGACCTGTAGCTGCAGTGGTAAAACAAATAAATGGTATCAATGACTTTTGATCTGTCCTATTCATGCTGTCAGTAAACACAGACATCACATCTTATTGTGGCACCAGAGCCAGTGTTATTTCAGCAACATTAAGATACTGTTGTAGTTTTTATTAGGGCTGCAAAACGATTAATCCTGAATCGCATTCAAAATAAGTTTGTTCACATACTATGCGTGTACTGTGTATATTTATTATGTGTATATATATATATAAATACAAATATGTGTATATTTAAAAAATATATATATTGTGTGTATATATATTTATACTTGTATATAATTTATATTATATATAAATATAAATATTGTACCTAACATTTTTCCTTAATATATACATGTATGTGTGTATATTTATGTATATTTATGTGTATTTATTTATATATATTTATTTATATATATTAAATATACGCCATACACACACATAGTATGCAAACATCAACTTTTATTTCGAATGCGATTTAATCGTTTTGCAGCCCTAGTTATTAACATTTTGAATTCTATTTTATTTTTATTTTCTGTTTTTAATTTTAAAGTTTTAGTAATTTTGTTGTGGTTTTATAATTTTCATTAGTTTATTTAGTAAAGTTTCGTTTTATTTTAGCATCAAGTTAAAGTGAAAAATGTTGCCATGGCAATTAGCTGAAATAAAACAAGCTTACTTTTTTTTTTACATTTCATATCAGTCGTTTATTTCAGTTAACTTTAATGTTTTTGTAGTTTTAGTTCAATATAAAAACCCTGGGCAAAGGTTAATCATAGTTGTGCCTAGGTTTAAAATAGGCAAAGATGGAATTTGCAGATTAGAATCGGAATTCAAATTATGCAAATGAAATATTAATCAACTGAACTTCTATAAATGCACAAGATCAGTTTATTTAAAAACATACAAAGCTGATAAAGCAATATCACATTTGTATAGCTATAAAGTGACTATGAAAGCGACTTGAAAACGGACTAAGATTACAAAAAGGTACAAAAATATCCTGAAAGTGGTTATTGGAGCTTTTGAGATGTTCTTGTCAGTCCTGTAGCAGCTGAATGCTCTGATGTAGTTTCATAACCCAGTTTCTTCATGTCTTTAGTCACAATGTTGAACAGTAGTGTAACAAAACCTTGTGAGCGCACCCTCGTAACTGCAAACAAACAAAATTGCATCCGCTATAGCTTGTAAATACACTGAAACATCCACTGAAATTTCATTTTGAGTCGAGGGTTAAATAAAAGCTTACCTTCTCTTCCCTCTCCTTGGGCAACAACCTTGGGATCTGTGAATTCTGGACGCCTTCCCATCAGCCAGCTGAGTACAAGATATAACATGTTAGATATAGGCCCGGTTCCACAAACGGGGCTTAGCTTAAGCCAGGACTAGGCCTTGGTTAAATTAAGATATTTAAGCAACTTTTACAAAACTGCCTTAGAAGACAACATTACAGGTTTGCATCATGACACTGACATATTTTAAGATATGTCAGAGCTAGATATTTTCAGTTGAGACAGCTCAAACATGTATTTTAGTCTGGGATTAGCTTAAGCCTCGTCTGTGAAACCGGGGGATAGAGTCTGATGAAAATAAATGTTCTTAAGTTACAGTGTACCTTCTCATTTGAAACGTTCATACAAGTTGCACATTTAACTGAAACGTAGTTCAAGTTAAGTCTTGAGAACAAGAGGGAAGGGCAACAGCAAATTAAATTCAGATCATAACCCAAAGCTGCTGCATTATAAATTGGGTAACTTTAATATTCTGCTGTACTGTGTGTCTACATGTGAATGCAAATGAATGAGGTAACATTGGATTAATTATGAGAAATTAGTTACAACCTTGTGAACTTCTGAAGTCTTGATGTAGACTCAGGAACGAACATAGGAATGGGCTTGGTGTGTCTGGACAGAGAGCATTCACATGTAATTCTGCATTTTACACAGATTTTAAGCTTGTATTATGACAACACAATCTTCGAGTAACTCACTTTCCAGGTGTAAACGGGATGTGTATGGCTCCATAACCTCTCACAACATCATTTCCAAAAGTGTAAGGGCCATACACACTGACCACAATCTGGGGCCCTGAAGAAAGAAAAAAAGAAAAAGATAGATGGATACTTAGAAATAGTGGGCACATAATTAAGCTGCATTACAATCTTCAGAATAATATTCCTTCATCAGATCAGGGTTTCTGCAGGTTTTATGAAGGTAAATTTAAGACGTTTGTGCTACCTTTTTAAGACCAAGTAAATTAATTTAAGGAATGAATTGA